TTAAGTGCGGCTTATACCCAGTGCAAATGCGAGTTAGAAACTTATCTAGTCGGTACTATCTATACTAGGTATTAAATCATATATTTGTGCTGAATAATATATATAGACAATTTGAAACATCTCTATCGACAAGGTAGCAGTGGAGCAGCACGTTAGGTGATCGACTCAGAACCTGGACTGTGGATGGAGTCGCGAGTTCAAATCCCATCGTTTAAAAGTTTTTTCTCCTAGTGGCCCGTTCAGCACTCAATAGGATATAAAAGGATACAACAAAAGATGGAGAGGAAGTATAATTAATAAAAATTATCTCTAGAAATTAAAGTAGAAATATAAATTAAAAAGATTTAATCAAAAAATTATCTTTTTTTTCTATTTAGTTGCTGTCTAGTGTAGGATAGACAGCTACTAGATAATTTTTCTTATACAGCTGCTAGGAGAACATTACTATCCAGTAGCTAGCTATGATTTTCCATGTTATGATTGTGTAACTTTTTCTGTCTAACTATTAGCTAATTTTTCTTGTACAGCTGCTGGGGGAAGCGAGCGTTACATTACTAGCTAGTAGTTAGCTACGATTTTCCATGCTAGTAGCTAGCTAGGATTTTCCATGCCATGACTGTAACATATTTTCTGTCTAGCTATTAGCTAATTTTTCTTGTCCAGCTACTAGGGGAAGTGAGCGTTACATAACTAGCTAGTAACTAGCTATATTTTCCATGCCATAACTGTAACATATTTTCTGTCTAGCTACTGCCTAATATTTCTTGTCCAGCTACTAGGAGAAGTGAGCGTTACATAACTAGCTAGTAACTAGCTATATTTTCCATGCCATAACTGTAACATATTTTCTGTCTAGCTACTACCTAATATTTCTTGTCCAGCTACTAGGAGAAGTGAGCGTTACACAACTAGCTAGTAACTAGCCAGAAATACTAGACAGCGGTTATTTAAGACACAACTTTTCTATCTCATGCCTAGCTAGCCCCGAGGTTCAATTTCTGCTCGGGTAGCGAAAGTATCGAATTTTTTAGGTTCAATTTGTTCACCCGACGCAATTGCTTGTAAAATTATGACTAATCTTCTGATTAAGGAAACGTCTAAACCAATAATTTCCGCTGTTTTATCCGGATTTTCAAAAAATTTCCTAGCCGTATTGCCGTCATTTGTATTTCCCGATCCTTCTTTAACAACATCTACTAATATTCCCAATTCGCTTCGTAATTGTTCTTGTATTTTTCTTTTTCTTACTATTTTGCTTGCTTTATCTTCAGATGTCCGCGCTGACCACTTTTTGAAATCAAGATTATAAGTTACATGCAATAAAAATTCTAAAGAACGTATCCATGCATGGAGACCCGACAATCCATATTTTAAATGTTCTGTTATAACAATTTTATTCGATATTTTTTTTTAAGTCATTCATTTCTGAAGACTTAGCTCCATAAATATAGCACACTGCGAATGATGTATCAGAAAGAATTGAACAAATTTTTCCATCAATCATGGTGAAAAGTAATTGATGTTTGATCGTTAAGTTTTGAATTTTTATTGGTATTAATTTATCAATTTCGTTTTGCATCCTATCTTTTTTAGTATTTATCACTTTTGCCGTTTCTTTTGTGAATTCAAATCTAATCGGCCGACAGTAGCAAGTCGATGATAGTTTTTTATTTTGCCAAATAACTGTCGAGTCATAAATAATTTTAGTGGTACAATACTCGTCATAAAAATGCTTGAATCAGATTTTTCCTGAAAACCACTATTTCCAAAGCTTTGTTTGTACAAACTTTGACTGGATGCACCATCAAAACCCCATTTATAAATAAATTTCAAAGTTTGTAGTTCATCATAATATTTATCACAAGATTTAAGTATGCTCTGAACAGTTAAATCTAACAGATATTGCAATTGTATACACGCTGAAACGTCCGTAATTGTAATACTGCATTCTGGGGGATAACAATCTCTTTTTGCAAGTTGTATTTGATAGTAAGAGGGGTAAATATTTATCCCTTCTTCAGCAGAAAGAACTTCTTGCAATGACATATATTTAGATTTTGATAAATTTAAAGAAACAAATATGAATAAGGCCTTGTCTCTGCACATTTGTTTCGGTGAAAGTGTGCAACTGTTTTCACAAAACTCTTTCACTTTTTTAATACAAGTAGGATTTTTTTCTAAAAAGTCTAAAATTTTAACTAAATCAATATTTCTTTCTACATAAGCTTTTGACTTTGCAGCAAACAACAATTCTTGACTTTCTGTTTCTCTTAAAGCTTCTGTTCGTCTTCGTTTTTGTCTATCAGAGAGTTCAATCCATTCTTTGCGAGCTGTTTTTTTAGAAGAAGATGAAGTTGATGCTGATGAAGGAGTAGATGTTACAAGAACCATATTATTTAACCAATCATCATAATTTTTAAGAAAACGATTAATAACACGACTAGATTTCTCCCATCTATCAGATAAACGTTGACAAAATATTTTTAATTTAGACTTTACACTTTTTTTTCTTATTATCATCAAGATTGGAAATATTAAATAGATTTTTTGTTAGAATCAATTCCCAAACTTTTTTAAAATCCCTGAAATTTACATTAGCATCTCTGAAAATGTAGAATAAATCACGATTTGTTAATGTATCCATTGTGCTTTATATTAGCATCTCTGAAAATGTAGAATAAATCACGATTTGTTAATGTATTCATTGTACTGTAAATGAATTGAAAGAAGGAAACAAACCTGATTTGAATCTAAGTAGAGTAGCTAGGCCGGTTCTAACCCACGGATACAGAGGCCAAGCCGCCACCAGGCGGCGTTGGTGTCGCGCCGGGCCCTAGAAGGAAGGGAGGAATGGAGGGGGTAAATACGTCACAGGGGAGGTGTGATAATATATATATTTCAACACACAGTAGCTTTCCATATCACCCGAGAGGTACTACTGTAAGATGCGTTTTTTTTTAAGTGGTTTCCCCAGTAGGCCTATTCCACTAAAAATGAGAATGAAATATATTCGGCAGGAAAACAAGTTATATTACAAACGGAGGATCAAAGAAAATAGAAACAGTTAAATATATTATTTTTATTTTTTGCCCGATTGTACTAAATATTGTGTATCCACAGAGATGTTGGAAGAACTAATTCGCATCAATGAGGATAATGATGCGTCGCTCAAAGAAGAACGTTTATCATTTTTTATAATTTTTATTTTAGAAAAAGAGCGTTCGCATAAATATGTGGAGCCAAACATGGAGAAAATTCGAAGACCAAAGTTCTTAAGAGATGGATACTGCGATGCATTTAAAATTTTAAAAAATTCAACACTTTTTTCTGATCGTATTTTCAAAGAAATATCACATTGCAAATCACAAAATTCTGCCTGAAGATCTAGGCTTTGTTCATTGATTTGCACAGTGAGAGGATTTTCAAATAAGATTAAATAATTTCTAAGAACCTCGAAATCATTGAAACGCGTATTAAATTGATCTATTAGGGATTCTATTAACAACAAATATTTCTGAAAGTTGCAACATGTGCCATATTCTTCGAACAGAATTTGGCAAGATGGATAAAAATGAAAAATGTTACTTTTAATATGATCTTTGAGCAATGTTAATTTTTTGCGAAATGAATCAATATGCGAAACTAATTGAGAAATTGTTTGATTGGGCTTTTGCAGCTTTAGATTTAAATTATTTAGATGGTTCGTTAAATCCGTTAGAAGAGCGAGCTCACAAAGTGAATCTAAATCTTGAAGAAAAAATTTTAATTCATCATATTTTGTATCCAAGGTTTCTTGCAAGAAAAGAAAGATTTCTTTTCTTATAGCAAAAAACTTTTCTAGGCATTTTCCTGCACTGAGCCATCGAACTTCGCAATACAGAGGCACATCTGTATAAACTGCGTTATGCTCTTCAAGAAAGTGTTGAAACTTCCTATGCGAAAGAAATTTGTGACCGCCTTTAATGGAATTAATAATTTTAGTAACCATTTGCATTGCGTTGCTCAGTTTAATTACTTTCCCACATAACGCTTCTTGATGAATTATACAGTGTATAAAAGGGAATTTTAAATCTCGCTGCCTTATTTGACCAAGAAGTCCAGTTTTCGAGCCTGTCATTGCTCTCGCTCCATCAGTTATAACTGCTGAACATTTTGAAAAATCAGTGCCGAATTTTTCAAGAGTTTGATTCACAGCTTCGAAGATATCACTGCCTGTTGTTGTTCCATGTAATGGAATAAAATCTAAAAGCTCCTCGACATACGAAAAATCGTTTTGCACGATTCGAGCAAAGATACTCAGTTGACTCACATGTCGATTATCGGTGCTTTCGTCAAGACAACGAAAAAAAAGAACAAGATTCTAATAAAAACTTTATTTCTTCTTGTAAGGACGAAGCAATACAATTTATCCGAGATTTTACAGTGTCGGCACTTAATGAAATGCTAGCAGCTTCTTCAAGAGTCAATGAGCCCTCGAATGACTCTACTGCTGCGATGAGGCATTTCTTTACAAATTCACCATCCGTAAATGGTTTCGAATGTTTGGCAATAACATGGGATATAGCATATAATGCATTAAGGGCTTTTAAAGATGCAGTATTATCGATATTAGAAATTGAATTACGACCTTCTTGATTAACTAGTTTTAATCCTTCAATTAAATTATATTTCTCATCGCCTACATATTTGGAATATTCATTTGAATGTATAGCGTAATGCCTATAAAGAACATATTTTTTTACAATAGAAGGTTGATAACCACACAGAAGACAGGTGGTTTTATTGCCAATAAGTGCGAAAAAAATTTCCTCCCATACCTTTTTGAAACATTGCTTGTATTTTTGCTTCTTATCCATCCTTCTAGTATTAAGATAAATTCAATATTAAGCAAATAAATTTTCTCGATAAATAATAAACTATATATAAATATTAATAATAATATACGTACATACAAAAATTTTCCAGCTGTAATCTCGCACAAGTAATCTTCCACAATCCACATGCACGTTTCACTACTGACTACTGATTTAACCGTTACCCAAAAACAGTACCAAGAAAAAACAATTGCCTATCAACGCGAGATTGCGCGTCAAGTACGAGTTTCACACGGACGATATCTGAGTATGAGTTTCCGTTCGTGGGATCTGTACGAGTATCCTCTATTGCCGAGCACGACGAAGCACTCGTGGGCTATCAAGACTGCGATTCAGCTCGAAAAGCCGCGATACGTCATCTTTGCTCTGCAAACTAATAAAAAAAACAACATGTCAGCACATAAAACTTTCCTCGACAGTTGTAAATTAACCAACGTGAAACTCTATCTGAATTCTGAATTTTTTCCATACGATGATCTAAATCTAGACTTTGACAAAAACAGAACCGCCATTTTGTACGATATGTTCGTACGCTTCCGTACATCTTACTATCAAATCCTCCGCGAAAGAAGTGAAACGTTATTCAAGACAGATGCTTTTAGGAATATGTCTTCTATGGTAATCATTGACTGCTCTCGACAAAACGAGTCCGTCAAAAGTGGCACCGTGGATGTGCGTTTAGAATTTGAATTCAAAGAGAATGTACCCGCGAATACTACTGCCTATTGTCTTATCATACACGATCGCGTGATCGAATACAGCCCATTCATATATTATATTAGATAATATCATTTAAAGTATTAAAGGTTTAAATTATTATGTTACATTATTAGATAATCATTTTAGTTTAGAAAAGTTCAAATTTTTGGGGATAATTTTCAAAGGTTGAAATTTATTGGGTTTTCTATTTTGTGGTTAGGTAATCGTTTTAATTTAGGAATGATCAAATTTTTACGGTTAGTTTTCACAGGTTTAAATTTGTTGGGTCTTTTAATTTGCGAGCATCTATTTTTGAACATGGCTTGACCTTTTCATTTGTGAATGGAACGGCGACAATAAGGCTATTGTGTACGTTAAAGGACGTGAAAAACGCCAATGGTTGGTCGATATACTCGACAGCGACAATTTGATCATTGAGACCCTCGATGCCGATTACGAAGATAATGCAACAAAAGAATATATACTTTATGTATGTTTACTTTGAACTGGCACCTTCAATAATTATGAGTCATTTTTCGTGGTAATATGTATCATTTCATTATCTTTCAATAATAAAATGTATTACGTTAAAATAGACAATTTAGTATAAAAATTCTTTTAAAATTAATATTGATCTTTTGTGACTTATTTTTAAAATGTAAAAAACTGTTATATACATACTTATATACAGGGTGGGGCATTAACTATTAGCACCTTAAATATCTTGGAATCTATGAGGCCCATAGGAAGATTTGTATAACCAAAATTGCACGGTACGAAGGGGACTATCATATGGCGATAATAATTTTTGTCCAGGTGGAGGCGCTTCGGAGATACCAAGGTCATTTTAATTTTTTTAAATGGGTCCGATATGTTTTTTTTCCATAATGTGATAGAGGAACTTGAAACAAGTTTAGAACTCACGACACAAGATCATTGAACAAGATTTAAAGTAAAGAAACATTTTTATTATTAAATGACATTTACAGTGATCTTTACAAAAGATGTTCAAAGTGATGGCCATTATTATCGATACAAGACTGGATTCTTCCGATTATTGATTGGGTTGCTTTTTTAATAACGTCAGGAGTTATTAATGTACAGGCTGTAATAATCTGTTGTTGCATGGCTTGAGGTGTAGTTGGTTCTTCTTTGTAGACCATGTTCTTTAGGGTTCCCCATAAAAAGAAATCTAGTGGTGTCAAGTCTAGCGAACGAGCTGGCCACACCACACGACGAAATTTACGTCTTCAAACGCTTCATTGACTATATCCATGAAATCTTCATCACGTACATTATTAATTATATCCATGAGATCTTCATCATCACTTACTTTATTAACTATATCTGCTTGATATTCCATTATTTATTACAATGTTGGAGTGCTAACTTTACACACGCCTATGCAATACGACTTTAAGAAAGATCGCTTCTAGACTGAATGCTTCTGGACCAAAATCATACTGTAACCCTTCTCTTCAACCAGAGTACATTTTTTCTAACTTTACTTTAGAAATGCTTAAAAAAAAAATTATGTATCCTCATAAACTTGAGAAATTTTAAATTCTAAAGTTTCACTTTTTTTTAGTCTAAAGGGCGGTCTACAATAAGTTGTAATACTCAGTTGCGAGTCGCGGAGTGGCAAGTTGTCAGTTATATGTTGTAAATCGTTGCAATGCCTAATCCACATTTGGCTGTCGAGAGTTGCAAATTGTAAAGAAACAGCCAATCATGAACTAGAAAGGTCCATCGTTATTTGCTAAACGTTATATCTAAAAAATCAAGGATTTGTATAAGTAAAGCAGGTTATGTGCTAGAAATGTTATTGAACAGAAGGCAACGTTTAAAGCGTTTGCAGAAAATATGCGGAATCCTTTCGATATCATGGAATTATTTAACAAGTTTTGTTATATTACAAAAGTTGACAAAAGTGAATAGAAGATGGTGGGTAAGACTAGTCCATTTTGATAAAGAAAAATGTGGTCACTATGAAAATTTGTTTTAATATCTTTTGAATGAAGATAATGAATTATTTTATGAAGACTATAGAATGTCAGTGGAGCAATTTAACTATCTCCTCAGTATGGTAGAGCCATATTTGCAAAAATTTTCAAAAAGGACTCCACATCCACCGGGTTTGCGCTTAGCTTTGACATTATCGTAAGTAATATAATTTTTAATATATTAGAACAAAATCAGTTAAATAGCGAATTTAATTGGATATAATGTGCACTCAGTGCGTACTGGTGCATATTATATATAAATCTAAAGCCGTCGTACACAGATTGACGTATATAAATGTATGTGTAATATAAATGAAAAAATAGATTCAACCATGAAATGCTTAATACATTTTATTATGCTATAAAGCAAAATATGTATTTTATTTCGAAATATTTATACTTTATTTTTATATAGATTAAATCAGTGTATAACTTTTAATATGCACAAGTGTGCACTAGTGCATCCAACCAAATTTGCTACAAATTTTAATATGTATAAAATTTTTATATGATAGGTTTCTTGCTCATGGAGACAGTGTGAGTACAATAGCAAGAGGATTTAGAATTGGCAAATCTACAGCGTACAAAATAATTATCGAAACTTGTAATGTTATTTGGACTGTACTTCAACCAATTTATCTTACTAAACCAACAGCAGAATCATGGAAGCACATTGCTAAAAATTTTTATCAGATTTGGAACTTTCCAAATTGCATTGGAGCAGTAGACGGCAAACATATTCAGATCCAACGTCCTCCTAGAACAGAAAGTTTATACTTTAATTATAAACAATTTTTCAGCATAGTGCTGATGGCCGCTGCTGATGCTGAGTACAAATTTACATGGGTTGATATAGGAGATTATGGTAAATAGTTTAGAAAGATATTTTCTTTATATTCTTTGATATTAATTTGTTGATATTATACTTATTAGGTTCTATGAGTGATGGAGGTGTGTGGGCTGAATCTGCATTTGGTTCTGCTCTGGAAAAGGACTCTGTTGATCTGCCACTACCATGTTTACTCCCCAACTCTGAAATAACATATCCTCATTTTTTTGTGGGGGACGAAGCTTTCCCGCTAAAAAAATATATGATGCGACCATACTCAAAAAAAGATTTAGGTAATCCTGAACGAATTTTTAATTATAGACTCAGTAGGGCACGCAGAGTAATTGAAAATGCCTTTGGCATACTTACTACTAAGTGGAGAATACTGCGACGGTTTCTATGCTGTTCTGCTGAAAATGCTGAAATAATAGTGAAGGCTTTAATATGCCTCCATAATTTCCTCCTTACTAAGGAAGGTGATATTGGTAGACGTTATTGCCCCAATGGTTTGATAGATTATGAAGTTAATGGTATTGTCCATCCTGGTGCTTGGAGAACTGAAAATACTTCACAGAATGTACATGAATTACGTAGAACTGGTTCTAATAATGCTGGAAGAGCAATAATTAATTTGAGGAACGTACTTCGAGATTATGTGAATAGTAAGGAAGGTGAAGTTGAGTGGCAATGGAACCGTGTTTTTCGTAATATAAACGTAAATCTAAATTGAGACTATGTTAAGTGTTTTTTCAGTTTGCGTTTATTGTTCATAATAAATTTATTATACAGTAATGAAAAAATCATTTATTAAAAATAACACCCACATTCATCCATTTTTTTATTAAAAAAAAAGTATATTACTGAATGCTGACGCATGCTAAGTTGTCAAATATTATATTGCACAAAATATTAGGAATAAAATAAGATATCAAATCTCATCGCTATATGAAACAAAAAAGTTAATACTACTGTATTAAGTAATCGCATACGAACTTAATAAAAATAAATTATATTGCTGAATGCTGACGCATGCTAAGTTATCAAATATTGTGCAAAATATTATAAATAAAATAAGATTTATGTGCTATAGAAATGTTATTAAACTGAAGGCAACATCAATTCCTATCGCTACTTATGAAACAAAAAAGTTAAAAAATACTGTATTAAGTATTTAACATTAAGTCCAAAAAAACAACATTAACATTAACTCCAATAGTAACATTAACATTAACATTAAAAAAGAAAACAAAAAAACAACATTAATATGTATTATAACGCCAATAATTATAAATATTATTCCTCCATCTTTTTCACTGCTTGTTCTTATTTCCAAAATCTATCATAACGTTCAGCAATATTTTTAGACATTCAGTTTTTTGGTCATCATTTAATTTTCTGAATATAGGCAGAAGACAAGTAAAATATTGAAGATCATCGTTTCCACTTGGCTCCTTCAAAGATTGTGTTATGGCATTTAATGTATCCTTCATATGTTGAGATGCCTCTGATACACGAGTAGAGCAAGATTCAATTTCCTTCTTTTTCTTCAAATGAAATTCATCTGGTGTAGGAACTTTGCGTTTACATTTTACGTTAAATGAATGTTTCTTCCTTTCAGTTTTGTTTGTAGACATAGATATTTCCTGGTTAGAATTGCTTGTTGACAGATATTCAGATGAAGAATCATTTGAAGAAAGCAACGTTGATTCCTCTCTGATTTGTGTCTCTGCAGAGAACTGTGTAAAATCTGCTAATTTAAATTAACATTTAAAACTCAAATTAACCTAAAACTATTATAATTGAAATATTTTTAAATATGCATTACATACTCGAAGTATTAGAAAATATTAAATTTGCATTCTGCAAAGGCGATGATTCAATTTCGATACATTCAACTGTATCTTCATGTGTTCCTTCGTCTAATTTTAGAATCGATTGTCCATTTTTTGAAGAAGCCAAAAATCCACTACTTTTAGAAGAAACTGGAAGTGATGTCTTATGAAAATTTGATGTTCTGTTTGATCTAAGACATAAAACAAAAATTAAAATATTAATTATAATTAATATATCATAGTTGTATACAATTAGGAATAAAAAGGGAATATATTTTATAAATAATTTCACTTGTGATTTACTTGTGACGCACCAGAGAGTTGCTGGCTATGGGAAAGACTAAACTGAGAAGTGGCATAGGCCTACTGACAGGACACTTGCCCCTCAGAGCACATCTATTCAATCTAAGACTAGCGGAGCAGAAAGAATGCCGGCTATGTGGAGAAGAAAGCGAGGACAACCTGCACTTATTGTGCCGATGCCCTGCACTCGCTTGTAAAAGGTACAAATCCTGGGGACATATGTTTATGACACCCAAGGATTTTGAAAATGCGAAGGTCAGCAGTCTAATAAGTCTGGTAAGCGACACGAGGCTGGGATTGACTGAATGACCTATGAAAAAAAGCAGATAGCGACAAAGGAACCCCACGGATCTAGGTCGCGTAAATGGGCTAATAAGGACCACCTGCAACTAACTACTACTACTACTACTACTTGTGACGCATATGTGGTATAAGAAATTGCATGTCACCCCAGTACTCCCAGTCAATTCGTAAGTTTTCTTTTTCATTAACTCCGCTTCCACTTGGCATTTTCTGCTTTAATTGCGCTAATTTACGACTGAATACAGTTCTCAACGATTTCCATTTCTTTTGCACTTCTATTTCTGGAATCAAAATTGATTAATTTTAATCAACGACTTAGCAGAATAATCAACAGCTTTAGTTTTATTTTGACAATAAACAGTTGTGTGTATGTGCTTAATGAAAGTTATTTTAATAAAGCAATAACAATAAGCAAATAATGAATAAAATTATTTGTTTGATAATCTCGACGCTGTAATTGAGGTTATAAATTAAAAGTAACGTCAAATTTTACATAAAACATGTACATATAAACGAGAAACGTACCTGTTCTATTCAGTAATACAGCAATTATTTTCCACGTGTTATCTTTTTTTTCTTTATTCGAAAAATCTTTTTGGGTTTTATCAATTAGGAATTTATTTGCCTTTACGTGTGCTATTATAGATCGTATTTCGGACTCATGCCATTCTTCTCCAGCTTCAAGCATATCCCAATCATATTGCTCTTCAGTATCCATTTTTATGGACTAAATATCGGAATAAGTATAAAATATAAAAATATGCTGCCGAAATTTATATTTATAACCATGGTAGAAATACAAGGGTATGCTCATGCGCATGACCAATCAGATTTTTGTTCTTGCTTACGTCACATTACGTCACAACGAGTGGCAATTTTAAAAAGACGAGCAGCATTAATGTTAAAATTTTCTGGTAATTAATATGTAAATATATTACATAACATTTGATATTAATTTATAACTAACTTTGCTTTCGGTATTTAAATGTGTGTGAAAACAAAATAAATACACAAAAAATTTAATGAATATAAAAATTAATGAATAAAAAAAATCAAATTTTAAATAATAGCGTTTTAAATGATAAAACAAATAAATATAAAAATAATAATTAAACAAAATAAAGGACAATAAGAGTCAATTCGTAAACAAGAAAGATTCTAACATTAAGAATATAATATGAATTTAAACATAAATAAATATAAGACACAAATGGATATAAAATAACAACACTTAATTTACAATTTACACTTTTTATTTGTAAATTTCATCATTTTCTTTTTTTTTTTTTTGGATTCAGAAGCAAGTGCTTTATTTAATTCATTCAATCTTATATAAGTTCTAGTCCTAATTAGACACAATATTACTTCTTTAGGAATGTCGACGTTTAATTTAGATGACGTTAACCTTTCCAATATTTGAAAAATATATTTATCCTTTCTCAAGGATGCACCGTGAAATTTTTCAAATTCCATATTTACGATTTTCGTACTTTGCAACAGCTGTTCTGAGGGATATATACATTTTCCTCGTGAAATAAATTGAAGCCAACTGTTTACATCGCTCGGGACATCCATGTGTCTCGTTTCTATACCTAGTGTGTATTTATGTTTGAACCGGAATGCAACGTACCCTGCTACATATTTCAAAGCCTCTTCTTCCATAACGTCGCTACAGTCTAATTCGTCTAACGATAACAATAATTGTTCTTCTTCGCAAGTCGGAGTGAAATTACATAAATCGAGCGAAATAGAGGACTCGTTTTCGCATACGCACAATTCATTTTCGCATACGCACAATTGTGGGTTATTATTGGCATCGGTTTCGTCTGTATTAACGGATGACGCTTGCATATTTTCTAACAACGAATCATCGAAAAAATCGAAGGAAGATTCATTGATTTCTTCACTTTGTACATTTGATTTCGATATTATCAATTGACTTGAATGTTTACCTAAAATAAAACGCTTTATACGAAACTGCAAGTCTAAAGCAGTCGGATGATCGTAAGTAGCTCCCAATGATCGTACGAAAGAAAAAAAATGTTCGAGTAAGTCCTGATTCAAGCGATATGTTATCAAATAAGAAATATCGTATTCGTTATATTTTTCCTGGAGATACTGCAATAATTGTTGCAAGGAAGCATTGCTTATGCAAATTCCTTTTTGAAAACTTAACATAGTCTTATGCTTTCCAACTCGGCATTCACTCATAAATTCAGACATTTTATCTAAAATTTCGTTTTGTCTCTCAAGCTGTACACCATAAGCACATTTTTCTGGTACTTTATCAAACTTGCATTTAGCGTTAAAAAGATCAAACCAGTCATTGCAGAGTTTAATAAATGTAGCAGTATCTTCGCATTCAATGTTTTGAAAAAAGCCTTTTTGAGAGCACCATTGAATTGCACGTGCTGTCGTATTAGATAATATCTGTGCTGCTGGTAAAACCTTTTGCCTGTCTGTACCTTTTACATTCAAGTGAGCCTCTGTAAGTTTGTGGACTATTTTTAAATCTTTGTAGGAATTTAACGATATTAATTTTTGCAAAACTGTACTGTCTATTTTTTTACCTTTCCAATAGAATGAATCATCAAGAAAATGATTTCTTATCAACTTTAAGAGATGAGGTATATCTGCAAAAACGAATATTTTTAAATCATTGTTAACGGGATGCTGAAAATAACATTTCTTAGTGTGCATGCCTATGTCTAATTCTGACCATAATTTCAAATTGCTTCGTCCCATATCACACGTTACAGCTACAACTATATATCCTGACTCGTGCAATTTTGATATAATTTCAAAAAATGTGCTAACATCCATCGCTTTATCGTACTGATAGTAGATGAGCTGTTTCCAACTCGAAAAGAGACTACGTACCATAACGCATTGACAGGTCCTATGAGGACCAATCACTTGTTCCTTTTCCCGCTCTATACTTATTTTATAACTTAAATACATTTCATCGAATGAAAGTACTACTAGTTTTTGAACATCAGGCATGCATTTTTTCTTAGCATTCATAACATTAAGTACACTCGAAAGAATACCCGGTTCGACACGAACTCGGTTTGCCCACCTTCGAAGTGTTGACATGCCAGGAAATGGTATTTTCATCACATCTTTCACATAACGATATCCCTTTGGGCTCGCACATCGCAACGATATCGCATTCGCAATGTCTTCGTTTGACCACTTGGTTTTACTTAGTCCTGGATTCAGTAAAAGCCTGATTTGTCCTGGAGTAAAAATAGTCTTCAGTAAGTCATGTATTTTGTGATCAAAGCGTTGA